TTGTGGCAGCGCATTCAGAGCACCGCGTGAGTACAACGGAGGGGAGAGTACAGTGTCTACAGCGGAGTACGTGTCCTCTCGAGTCCTGGATGGGAGACATGAACGCGTGTTTCGCTTCTAGGGCCGCGCGCGATGGCGAGAGCGGCGTCCGCGGCGCGCGCGGGACCGGCGGCGGCGAGGTCGGCGGCGAGCGAGCGGGAGAGCGCGGCGCCTAAGGTCAGGGGCCACGGTGTCAGGCCACGCGCCCAGATTCGGTCCGCCGCGAGCGGACAAGCAGTTGCTGCGCCGTGCAGCGAGCACGCACTCCAGACCGCGTCGCCGCGCCGCAGGGTCTCGAGCACTGCGGGCGGCAGCAGCGCGGCGGACGGCTCGCACAGAGCCGGCAGCGAGAGCACGCCGAGGGCGAAGCTGCGCACGCACTCCAGCGACGGCGGCGGCGGCGGCGCGGCGGCGGCGGAGGCGGCGGTGGCAGTGGCGGAGGCCTCAGTGGCTGCGGCGCCGCAGTCGCCGCCGGCGCGTATTCCCGCGGCAAGCAGGGCGACGGTGGTGGCGGCGCCCAGAAGAGGCCGGTCGAGCGAGAGCGGCAGCGACGCGACGAGTGCGCCGCAGGCGGAGGTGACGGCGCCGCCCGCCGCTGACATCGTGGCGGAGGTCATGAGGCAGAGGGCTCGGGCGGCGGGGCTGCCTCCGCGCGCGGCGGAGAGCTTGCGGGTGAGGGCCACAGCTCGGGCTCCGCCAGCGCGAGCAGCAGTCGCAGCGGCGGGCCGAGCACGCCACTCACCACCTCCCCGCCCTTGCCCTCGCCCTCGCCCGCGGCGGGAAGCGCGCCGCCGACCGGCGTCAGCTGTCTGGCGCACGCGAGCAGCAGCCGGTGGAGGACGGCGACCCAGTGGCGCGTGAGCGGGCGGCTGAGCGCGGCCGCACAGAAGGCCCGCTCCGCCTCGGCGCCCTCCTCCAGGCCCGCGAGGATCAGCCTGCACAGCTGCGAGAGGCGGCCGCCGTCGTGGCGCGGCTCATAGAAGCGGAGGAGCCACGCGGCGAGCGCGAGCTGCTGGCCGGCCGGTGGCGGATGATCTGGGCACACCCACGCGGCGCGCTGCGACGTCCTGCTTCGAATCGACTCCAGCCACCGCCGCGCACCGCACTGCACCACTTCGGCCGCGTTCGCATCGCGCTGGTCAGCCTCCACCTTTGCCGCAGCTGCAGCAGCCTGAGCGCGCGCCTCACGCGCCGCCCGCGCGCGCTCAACCGTCTCCTGCCGGCGAGAGGCCTGGGCCACCGCCTCGCGGGTGGTTTGGAAGCTTTCGCCTGGCATCTGCCGCGCCTTCTCCAAACCGCACGACAAAGGCCGACGCTGTCTGCTATTGCCGCAGCCACTTCACAGCTACAACTGACTCCTGGGAAGAGACTAGGGAGGAGCAGCGTGAGACCGAGGCCCCCTCGAGGTTCACAGCGGGTCGGCTGGGGGGGGGGGGGGTGGGGGGGCCTTCCCCAGACAGGACCCGACGGAGAGCCGCAGGACGCCAGAAGAATTTACGGCTCACATCGTGTTGCTTCGTGCGTCGCTGGCGGACCGGCGGGCAGCGCCGCCTCCCTTCGCTCGAGAACTGACAGGCTGAGCAGGAGGCCGACGCTAGTCGGGAGCTGTGTCATGAGCCTCGTCGCTCGGAGGTCCCGCGCACAAAGCGGCGGGCCGCAGCGGCGGGCGCGGGCGGGGTACGGGTTCGCGCCCGCTAGGCGCTGCCTCCTACACCGAGGCCAGACCCACTCCTCCTCCAGTTCACTAGCACAAACTAAAGTTTGTTTAGCAGCAACACATCCCTGTGAGGTGGCGGCGTGCCGTCCTCCCATCCCTCCGTTAAATTGTCTTTTTTCTTTCTTTTTGCTCGCCAACATAGGCACGGGACTAGAGAGAAAAGAATTCCAGAACAACTCACACAACACTGGGCACGGGACTGGCGCGCACTGGCACTAACACAGGTACATGTTACACGAGAAAGAAAGAAAGGCGAGGCCACCAACCACAAATAAACAAACGCAGAATTTCAAAATGAGTTACAACAGAACTGCGTGAACGCACATCAATCAGGCGCGAGCTGCCGATCGGCGACCGGTCCGCCCGGGCTGATCAAGCACTACTCGCGCTCCGGCGCCTGGGTCGAGTACAGCTGTATCACGCCCGGCAGCCCTAGCCAGGCCCCGCGCGCTGGCCGCGACCGCGACCGCGGCCCTCACTCGAGCCCGAACTGCCCATGAGACATGCCGGAACCGTCCGACTGTAGCGACTAGCACACCTCAAGTGTCCCCAGAAACCCCGAGGAGTCACACAGTCCACCTGTGTGATGCACGCCCTGCGAGCGGGGCGGGGTGCGCACTGTGCCCAGAGTGACTGTGCCTCTGTGTTCGTGCGTCGCCCATCTCTCCTGGAGATGACTGCTCTATTTATGTATTTATTATCAGGCGCTTGTCTCTGTGTGCTTTCTTGGAGCGCTCATGAACGCACACAGATGAGAAAAGCGCCCGATCCCGATCATCTGGCTCGCTGGGTGTGATTCTTAGCCCCCCGGCCCTGGATGTGAGGCTAATGACTGCACTCCAAGTGCTCCAAGTGCCTGACGTGCGTTCTCGCGAACTGAAGCAAAGCGCTAGCTAGGACCACACACACTCACTCCTTTCCCCTACGTACGTACGAACGACTGAAGGCCTTGATTTTCTTTGGACTTTGCTCACATGCACGGACTCCCCAGGACATAATTCGTGAGACTTGTGAGTGATAAAGCCGTAGCTGTACGGTACCACCGACTACCGTACTGGTACTTTTACCGTGTCCGTGTGTGGCTACTGAGTACTGTACAGGTACTGTAGCCGTGTATGGCTCAGTCCGGGAGTCTGTACGAACCGCACCGCACGAGTGGAGCGCGCTTCTCGGCGAACCTCGGCTCGTATATTCAGCGTGTGACGGCGCGGTGGTCGATTTCACGCGTCCCGCGCCGCGGGGCGCCACCCAAACCGCAAACGAAAAATGTTCGGCGCGCGCCCGGCACTTTGGTCTTTGCGTATTGCGAGCTTGCCACAAACACACACCATATCCAAGCGGCTGGTTGTCTTGCTTGAGGTCCACAACGCCATGGAACTTGCCCTGTCAGGCGGTCAGGCCTGATCGCATCGCGTGATGTGGCGCTCGGTGCGCAGCGGCCCGAGCGCCGAGAGGTCCTTTGAGCAGTGCGGGCACACGTTGACATTGTCGAAAGGGTTTTCCGGCTCGGCGCTTTTGCGCTTGGAGGCCGCGCTCGTCGACGGGCTGGGCGCCGCCTTGCTGCGGCACGCGTTGCACAGCCCGTCGACGTGTCCTGGGGTCTTAAAGTTGCCGCAGGCGCACTTGCGCGCCGCAAGGTCGGCGGCGTCCTGGCGCCGCTTGATGTCACGCTCGTCCGCGAGCGCGCCCACCGACTTGAATGTGTGCGCTGGCCAGTCCACGTCGGTGACGTCCTCGCCATCCTCGCACATCAGCATGCAGCCGATGGGCTCTTGTCCCGCCCGGTCGCGCGTCGGAAAGACGGTGCCGCCACCGCTCAGCACGAACGCGACGCCCATGCGCTCGCCCGATTTGGCGGCGGATGGCCCGCGGAAAAGGTGCGCTGGCGCAGGGTCGAGGTGCGGCTGGATGAACAGCTCACCGGACGCTCGGAAGAGCGCGAGGCCGACGGATTTGATGCTCTGGCCGACGATGGTTGCGGCGGTGACACTCTTCAAGTTGAAGAAGCCAGCGCCATCCGCGTTCGGCACGCCAGCCCAGATCTCATGCTTGATGTCGTCGCGCGAATCGACGAGCTTGATAATGTCGTGGGATCCATCGTTAGAAGTGAAGCCGGTGATCTTGCACCCAACGACGCTGTCATCGAAATACGGCAGACCCGTCGACGCGTTCATGTTCTCACGAAGGGCGCAGAAGAGCAGTCGGCAGAGTGTTTGGCAACCAGCCGGGGCGGTATCATCGAGGATCATCTGCTGGGTCATGGTTCCCTTCTTTTATGAGAGTTCTTGTTTAATTCTTTTATGAGAGTTCTTGTTTAATTCTTTTATGACTCGGTCTTCTACAATAGAGCTATCTGCACTTGAGCACTTGAGCACTGGATAGGGTCGATTCCGCATGGTACGGGACCCCATCTGCACTAGCATCTATCTAGCTAGCTACTTCATTTCATCGAATTTCATCACAGCATCCAGAGAGCCTTCTTTCTTAAAATGCCCACCCACCCATCCCCACCTGTCCACCACCTCGGTGAAAGGAAGCGGGGCATGGTGCCGTGGGCTATCCGATTCTCGGAAGCCTTCTCGTGTCGCTCGTGCGTGTCGTCATCATCTGTCTAGCGCGTCCAGCAGACCGCCATCTGGAGCGTCGTCGAAGCCGCCATACGGCAGCCGCGCGCCTCACCTCTTCCCCCTCGGCCAGCTCTGCAACCGCCCCTGAACCTTTCGGAACATCCCCTTTACAGGTCGAGCGCCTTCGTCTATGGCTCGAGCCTCACCATCGGTGGCGAGTACGAGGGCATCTTCAACTGGATGTCGGTGAAGTACATCCTCAGCTCGAGCAGCGGCGAGGCGGCGCCCTACCTCGGCGCCCTCGATCTTGGGGGCGCGTCGACCCAGATCACCTTTGACCCCGAGGGCGGCGTCATCCTTGGCAACGCGTATCGCGTCACTGCCGACGGCGACCCCTACCGCCTCTACTCGCACTCGTACATGCTCTCGGGGCAGAACGAGGCCCAGGCGCGGCACGTCAAGGCGACTTCGTACGACCCATGGATGAGCGACCGCCGCAGGCTGCAAGAGGCGCCGGGCGAGCTGGGCGGCCTGCTGGAGAGCGCCTGCTACAACGAGGGCCTCGTTCAGACCTTTGACCTCGCGTGTCCCTCTGGCGAAGGCACGTGCCAGTACACCGTGCACGGTGCCGGAGACTTTGACGCCTGCAAAAACGCCACCGACGCGATCCTCAACCTGCACAACGAGTGCCTGCTCGAGCCGTGCGCGGCGCACGGCGTGTACCAGCCGACGCCTTCGGGCGTGCAGTTCTACGCCGCCAACGCCTTCTTCTACACGGTCAATGGTATCGGGCTCGTCGGGTGGAGTGAAACAAAGGCAATCTCCCCGCATCAGATTGCAGAGGCCGGCGCAGAGTGGTGCGCCAAGCCGTGGTCCGAGATCGCGGGCGAGTACACGAGCGTGTACTGCTTCATGAGCGCATACGTCTCGTCCTTGCTCGAGGCGTACAGCATCCCACCCGACGACACATCGGCGAACAATACGGCGCGCAGTGGCTGCTCCCAAGTCCCGGCCCCGCACCCCGGGACCTCGGACCATTAGGTGACGTTCGCTCGGAAGCTGAACGGCTACTCGACCGGGTGGACGCTCGGCGCGCGGCGTCTGCCCTCCACGAGAACGCGCGGAGGGGCGCCTCACCGCGGGCGTGACTGCGAACAGGCGCGCAGCTCTTCCTCATGGAGAAGCTACGTGTCGACAAGGTGCTAACGCCGCCACGTTTGCAGCCGCCATCGCCCCCGATGCCGCCGCAGGCGCCCGCCCTGTCTTCCGTCGCAGTGACGCATCACGTCGTGGCCACATTCAAAGTGAACGCCGCGTGCACCCCAGCCCTCGAATCGAACATTCGAAACCAGATGGCAGAGCATTCCGGCGTGGCCATCAACAACACCAACGTCACGTGCGCCACCGTCCCTTCAACCCGCCGCCGCCGCTTGGACAGCGCAGAAGTGACCGTCACCTTGGGCACCACCGCGGAAAATGCGGGCGCCGTTCAAACCGCCGCTCAGAGCTTTCTGGAGAGCGATGCTGCTACCACGGGCACCGCCTTTGGGGCGAGCGTCAGCGAGCCGTCTGTCAGCCAATCCGCCGTCAGCACGGCCATCGGCGGCGGCGCGAAGCAAGATCCGCACCTCCATTTTGCGCACGGCGGGACGGCAGACCTCCGCGGCCGCGACGGCGCCTACTACAACTTCTTCTCCGCGCCGGGCATCTCGCTCAATGTCAGGACAGAGGACGCCACTTTCATGTTGCACGGGGGAAAGCTCACTGTAGACGGCTCCTTCATCACAGAGGCGCACCTCGTAGCCGGCGCGGGCGCGTGCCCGGCCGAGGCGCCGCGGGGCAGGTGCGCGGGTATATACAAGAAGTGGCTCAACGTCTCCTACCTCGCCTCCGAGCTCACCGAACAGAACGCCGGCTTCACCTACCTACGCGGTACCTGTGGCTCCCTGAAACCCTTCGAGGGCGGCATCGCGTTTCGGAGGCTGTGCGAGGACGCGCTCGTGCAGTCTCGCTTCTCGAGCGCCAACTTCTCCGCGCGCGGCTGGACCTTTGTCTTGCGCGGTGATGCCACCACAAAGGTATCTCCTGTCCTGGCGGGTTCACCCCCACGCGTGCAACGATTGTTCTGTATAGGCAACCACGTGTACGAGCGTGTCTCCGGCCCGCGCCACCGGCTCGATGTCAGCATCAGCGCGGCGGAAGGCACGGCCGCCCGAGCACTGCCGCACGGCATTGTCGGGCAGACCTTCTCCTCCACCTCGCCGCGCTTTGGAGCCAAGGACTGGTACCCCGAGCGGGGCCATTTCAAGACAGCTGCGCAGGCGCAGGGCGCGATTGAAGGGAGCGTATCCATGTACGAGGTGGCTTCGCCGTACGATACTCGCTTCGCCTTCTCGCGATTCGACGCCCAAATGAGGTCCTTTCACCTTAGATAGCCCGCAGTGCGAAGTGGTGTTTCCGGTCCACTTCATGATGGGCTGTCCTCGCAGGCAGGAGTCGCTTAGGCGGCTCCCGTCGTGTACCAACTTCTCCACACACACGAGGTGGTGGGGCAAGGGGGGGCAACCCTCGCGTCTCCACGTCTGACGACAGGAGCCCCACGGCATTCAAAGTGCAAGGCCCAGTGCGCGTGGGTGAGCGGTGTGTGTGTGTGTGTGTGTGTGTGTGTGTGTGTGTGTGTGTGTGTGTGTGTGTGTGTGTGTGTGTGTGGTGTGTGTGTGTGTGTGTGTGTGTGTGTGTGTGTGTGTGTGTGTGTGTGTGTGTGTGTGTGTGTGTGTGTGTGTGTGTGTGTGTGTGTGTGTGTGTGTGTCACGTCACTGCATCCTCTGCCGGTTCCTCCCGTCGCCTCTTCTTTGTTCGAATGTGTTTCAATCCACCCTTCACGAAGCCCTCCCATGTAGCTAGCGTTCTTTGCGAATGTCTCGAAATGGCCATCAGGCGCTGTCTGCTCGCAGTCTGTGCGGGCCGCTCGTCCTCCTCGCCCTTCTTTCGTCCTCCCGTCCCTCCCCTCCACCATGGCCTTCTCGGCACTTCTTTCTCCATCCGCCTCGCCCTGCCTTTTCGTATCGTGCCGTTCGCCCTCCATTCGGTGACCTCCATGGCTGTCCGCCTCCTTTTGGGTGGCGCTCTCGATACCGTTGCGTCAACCTCGACGTCGCTGTCGCCTTCCCCGTGACCCCGCCGTCGCCCGTGCCTCGGTTCGCGTCATCGGTAGCGTCTCCGTTGTTCCCTCGTCCCGTGCCTCGCCGTCGCCCTCTTGGCTCGGGCCGTTCGCGCGATTTCGCTCCTCCTGCGTGTCGCCCCTCCGTCTCCTCCCGTTCCTTCGTCGTCATCGTCGCTGTCGCGAAAGCCCTCCGGCCCCTCGATTCCCTCGTCTATCCCCTCCCCGCTGCGTCGCCCCAGTTTATATCCCCATCCTCTGCGCACGTCGCGTTGGCTTCCTCTCTCCCACTTTCCTCCCTGCCCCTCTCGCTGTCCGGTGTTAGTGGACCCCCTTCCTCTCCCTCGCCATCGTCACCGTCACTGTCCTCGTCGCCGCCGCCCTCCATCCCCGCCGCCCTTTGTTTCACACTCGTCTCTGCCATGTCCGCCGTCGCCGCCGTCCTGTCTGTTGCGCTCTGTGCTCCTGTGCTAGTGCCTGTGCGCGCCAGTCCCGTGCCTAGTGTCGAGAGAGAGTGTCTCTTCTCTAGTGTCGTGACAGTGAGCGATGCGTGGACGGAAGGTCCGGGGTTGTGTTTGTGTGGACGGAAGCGGTGAAAATTCTCTTTCGTGACGGCGCTCTTCACAAATGGCGAGCCGATCGCGCTTTTCGAGGGATTCGTTCAACGGTGGAACGCGCCGCTCTACCGGAGACCGCTCGCCCCCGTGGACGGACGCTCTTTTCGCGGCTGAGGAGGGGGAGTCGCCGACGGTGAGGCAGCAGTTTGAGGAGGGAATCGCGGCGGCGACGGCCTCATTCACCGCCGAGGCTCCCTGCGGAGCCGCCGAGGCTCGGGCTGAGCAGCTGACAGCAGGGCCGGATGCCGGGGGCTGGGAGAGGACCGCTTATTCGTGTGGGTCCTCGTGCGGCCGCGTGGCGGTGCCTATGTTCACGGGCTGCGCGGATCTGGCCTCGTTGCTGCTGCTCGCGGCCCTCTCGCTCGTCCTCATGGCTCGCAAGGTCCAGTGCGGCGAGGGCGACGCCGACGCGCTGCGACCCGCGCGCGAGATGGCGGTGCACCTGTGGGACGCGGGGGACTGGGACTGGGGGTGCGAGGACACGTTTGCAGAGCCGGTCTTCCGGCCGATGCACCTGCTGGCGGGCGGCGCCTGCGCCACCTACCTCGCCGCCCTAGTCTTGCGCGGCAAGCGGGCGATGCGCGTGCTCGAGCTCTTCCTCGCAACGTACGCGCCTTATAGCCCTCGGCTTGCACGTGAGGAACTCGTCGCCGAAGGAGGATCCGCCGCCCCGTGATCGTGGCTTAGCGCCGATAGACCTCACACGGCTCCTCGCCTCGAACCCCCCCCCCCCCCACACCCCCACCCCCTCCCCCCCGGCCGCTCGAGATCCCACACCCCTCGACGCCCCCCTCGACGCCCCCCTCGACACACCACAGGTATGCGCTCTGCTGGTTTGGCGGGAGCGACGCGGCGGCGGGCGGGCGGCGGGCGGCGCCCCCGACGCCGTCTCCGCCACCCACGCCATGCGTGGATACGAGCCCGCAGTCCTAGAAGCCGAAGACGTCCTCTTGTCTCCCAACCAGCGCTCGAGAGGACACGTATTCCGCTCGAATTCGCTGTACTCACTGCACTCGTGGCCCCTCGTCTTCACGCGGTGCTCTGGAGACACTGCACAGTGCCGTCCTCCCGCCCTGATGTCGGTGTATTGGCCACGTAGGCCTGCAGTGCCCGGTGTGGGCGCGAGATGGCCACTGCAAGAACAACCCGGCGTACATGCTGCAGAGCTGCCGGCTGTCGTGCGGCGTGTGTCCGACGCCCGCCAGCGCGGAGGAGGCGCTCCCTTCCCCCTCCCCCCCCTCTCCCTC